AAGACCAAAAAATGCAATTGAAGCAATAGGTACTGCTTGGAAATGGCTGGCAGGAACGCCAGATCATCACGATTACGAAATTTTAGAAAACAAGATAAATGAACAACTAAAAAACAAAAATAGACAAGTAGTAATCAATAGATTAACTAATAAAAAAAATCAACCAACTAACTAAAGCAAGCAAATATCCTAAAATATAAAATACAATTAATAAAAGAAGGAATAACTAATATAATACACGCAATTACAAGGGCAAACACAGTAAATTCCTTTGTATTTACAACCACAATAATAGAAGATATCTTCAGAAAAGAAAATAACTTTTTTTTTGAACGTAGAAGAATTTCTAGAGTTTGCTAAGGTCAAATTAGCCACAAATGGTAACGACCTCCTTTACATTATTAGCTTACCAACCATAAAAACAGACAACTGCAGAACACTTAAAATTAAAGCAATAAATAAAGCCCAAATTATAAATGATATAAGACACGAAAATTTGTTAGAATGTATGAAACAACTATTTGCAATAACAGAACCATGCGAATCCCATAATGATAAGACTACTTGTAACTCAGAAAAATTGTTAGATTTAAGTAACGATACTTGTGTAACTGCACTACTAAATTTAAGAAAACCCGAATGTAAGATAATTAAAAATCAGCACATACCAGATTTTGAGGAGATAGTGCCAGGCACCATACTACTGAACGATTTCAATGGACAAGTATCACTGGATGAAAAGGAAGTAAAATTACATGGCTCTTTTATCATACAATACCGAAACTCAACGGTTACTATTGGCGAGGTGACGTACGAATCAAGAAAAATCAACATAGCTGAACCAGAACCTCCAGTTTTCCAACTTATGGGAGAAAAAACCAAACTTGAGGAAGTTCTCTCACTTCGAATGGTCAAAGAATTGCACATCAACAACACAAAAGTGATTGAGAAACTAAGAAGCAACGCAACAATATCAACTTCTGTTAGCTATGGATCTACCATCATCCTCCTGATAGTAATAATAGGCATGGCCACAACAACCAAGAACAACCGCCCCTCTTCCGGAAATTCAAGAAAAGCCTACACAACCCGGACCGTTACTCTTTTACGTTGCGACCGAGGACCGTCGCATTTAAGGGGGGAAGAGTTAACAACCTAGTTTCTAAAATCGTTGACAAAGAAGATGCAAGCTCAGTACATATGACGCAACCGGGTGAAGAAACCAAAAGTTCAATTTACTACCAACTCAGGAAACTTCCGGATTAGTGTTCACACGATCGTTCCCCAAAAGATGCAAGCTCAGCGCACGTGGCGTACCATATCTAGGGCATCTGCCAATGTGGAAATCAATGCAATGACCAATGGTAATTAGAAGCGGCCAATAGTTAAAAATCGTCATAACCAGCTAATGAGAACAAAGAACGTCAGCGGAAAAACAAAGAACGTCAGCGGAAGCAACGGCGGCAGTCGTCATCGAAAGTCGCATACACTGGGATTGGTGAATCATCCTTGAATTCTGATAAGGCAGTCGACATTCTAGCGCAATTCCGGGATCCAAGCTATCGTACCTCATTGTCCGCAGTCGTGACTCATAGTATCACTGAGTATCAGCCCCATTTTAATATAAATGCATCATGGAAAATTCCGCAAAATATATCGCTCGCTGATCCTTACTTCAACCGATCAGAACGAATGGATCTTCTAATTGGTGCTGGCCTCTTTTTCGAAATAATTGGTACGGGACAAATTCATTTGGATAGCGCGTTACCAACACTTTAGAACACCAAACTTGGTTGGATCGTGTCTGGAGGGCTGCCGAGTGCGTCAACTCATTTCTGTCTTAGCTGCCATCGTCAAGGATCCTATTAATTATTCTGATTTTGAGAAATCGAGAAACCAGTATTGTTGCCTGAAGACTTGCGATTCGAGCAGCTTTTCAAAGAAAGTTGCGTTAGGCTTGAAAATAAGCAGTACTCTGTTCGTCTCTTGTCCACATAAGGATTCGAACGACGATAGCCAGGCAATACGAATCACCTAAAGAGATTCACCTAAATAGATTCACCTAAAGAGATTTCTATTGCCTAGCTCATCGTCGCTAAATTGAATAGGAATCTAGCCTTGACGGCTCAGTAGTCTGCATTTTAACGGGAATATATGGAGCTAGGTCCTGCTTCGCTGTGGAGATATCTGCAAGATGTACCTCTGCTGATGACTTTTTGCAATGTATCCACGGACAAAATGAGGGATTTTACGTTAAACACAGTGACTTATGGAACCAAGCTATCTGCCTTCTTGGTTATAACAGCCATGCATCAGAGCTATTATAATAAGGAGGAATCATTCCCGGTTGGAGCCAAAATTGTTTGTTAAGATTTCTATGTGGATGATTAAATTTCTGGTGGTGATTCAGTTGAAAAGGTGAGAGTAATTCGTTGCCAGGTGAAGGAACTACTGTCGCGAGGGCACTTTCAAATCCGCAAATGGTGTACGAATGATGCAGGAGCCCTCGAAGGGGAGTCTGACTGAGACAGGGCACAATTAATCAAATTTTACAATGGACATCGCCAAGGCCTTGGGATTGGTCTGGGTCTATCGTCTGATTAGCTCCTTTTAAACTTTTCTCAAAATCTGATCGACGCACCAAACGATTTGCATTATCAACAATTGCAAAATTTTATGATTCAATTGAACTAATTACACCAATCATTACAAAATCTAAAATATTTTTGCAATGCTAACGCAGATTGGGATGACAAATTGCCAGAGCCCATTCTTTCGCCATGGGAGTATTGGAACATAAGATTTCCACAATTCGCAATGCTACCACAGGCTTCCGTTGAAGTGCACGGATTTTGCGATGCTATCCTATCACCATATGGCACGTGTTTATACTTGCGATCGAGGTCAATGGAGAATTAAAAGTACATTTGCTCTGTGCCAAGTCGAGAGTAGTTCCATTGAAGGCCTTGACAATTCCAAGATTGGATTCAAGCACTATTATTGACTGAGCTTATCGTAAACGTCAAGGAATGCATAGGGTTCGAAAGCGCCTTTCATTGCTGGTCTGATTCGTCTTTTGTGTTGGCATGGATTCGCCAGCCCCCGAGGGAGTTCAACGTATTTGTGTCAAACAGAATCGCAAAAATACACGAGATGACGAAAGATATGACTCGGCATCACGTTCCGACAATTTTAAGCCCGGCAGATGTCGTGTCGCGAGGATTTACCCCAAGAGAATTGCTGGATCATTCCCTTGGGCTAACGTACCTTCTTTCCTTCTCAAAGCTCTTTGATTTGCCAGTTAAGCATCTTCCAGAGCGTCGTTCCGCAACTTTAGTTGGAGCCATTTGCGTTGACGTTTCATCAAGCAGAAAATTCATCAACACTTTTGATAAGTTGCAGCGCGTATTTCCTTACATTCATCGTTTCATTGCCAATTGCAAAGCCAAAGCTGTTCCTTTAAAAGGCGTTCTTTCGGTTGAGGAGATCAACCTTGGTACTGTACTGCTTCTGAGAAGCATCCAATAGCTTCACTTTGTCAAGGAGTATCGGGCTTTCAACCAGGACAAGCCATGTCCTCAGACAAGCAAACTGATTTCTCTGAGGCCAACGGTTTCGATGGATTACTTCGCTTTGGTAGAAGGCTGCAGATCTCAATTTTGGACTACAATATGAGGCATCCGATATTGTTACCCAAGGATCATGCAGTCACCAATGCAATCATGGTTTATTTTCATAGGATATATTTACATGCAGGACCACAGGCATTGCTTACCACATTGCGGCAAAGTTGTAGGCCGCAAATTCATAGCTAGCGTCGTCAACAAATGCATCCGATGTTTTCGAATGAAGCCTGTACCTTGGGAGCACGTTATGGGTAGCCTGCCAGCAGATAGAGTGCAGCCTAATTCGGTATTTTTTATCACAAAGCGGAAAGGCGGCAAACTTGGAAGTCGCCCAGGACCTCACAACCGATTCCTTCATCGCAGACCTCAGAAGGATTATTAGCCTGGCAACGGGTGACCTCAATACAGCAGCACTTTTGAAAAAGGTGGAGCAGCGAGTACTTGTCCCTACTGCAAGAAAGGAGCAAGTGGCGCTTCGAAACGTCCAATATCAAGGTTGGAAACAGGAGGAAGGTTGAAAGGAGGACAACATTCCGTCCATATTGGAACAGTTGGAACAGTTCCTCTTCCAACGGGGGGAATATGTTCGGAGCAGACCGCTCGCGCCTACTTATGAGCGCATAGGTGTATCACTGCACCTGCAGCGCTCTTAGCTCTTCTCTTTGTTATCTATTTCTCTCTCTTCTTCTTCTGTCGCATTATCTGTTAAGCAAAGACCAAGCGTCCGATCGGCAGTTGGAGCTCCGACGAGTATGAAACAAGAAAATAAATACGGCATATAACGACCTATACGTGCGTTAGTGATTATTGGCTCAAGGGTGGCAAATTCGTTGTTTTCCCCATAAACAAAAATGATGAATATTTTTATTTGCGACTGCTGTTGGTAATTGTACGTGGACCAAAATCATTTGCGCATTTGAAAACAGTGAATGGCCACCAATGTCAAACATATCGAGAAGCATTTCAACTATTGGGTTTGCTAGAGAACGATTCACTTGCAACTCAACACGTTTTCCTTCACAACCAATTTAATGACGTGCATATACCTTGCATAGCTGACGCATTCAAACGGATAATGGTGACATCTAAACAACCGATGAAATCTACAATAAGGGATTAATGCTGATTGAGGATCAATGCTGATTGAGGATCAATGCTTGACTATTGCAAACAAGCTACTGAATAAAGTAGGAATGATTGCGCTAAATCAATGCAACCAAGAACTAAATCGAGAGCTGCAATACGAAGTATATACATTGCAGGAATTCGTTCGAAATAATGTTTCGTTGCTGAATGAACAGCAAAATCAAGTATACAAAACATTAATGCCAGCGGTGCACAATAATACTGGTGGTCTATTCTTTCTGGACTCACCTGGAGGAACAGGGAAAACATTTGTCAGTTCATTGATTTTGGCCACTATTCGATCAAGATGTGACATAACTTTTGCGTTAGCATTATCTCGGCGACTCTTATAGATGGCGGTCGTACTGCACATTCTACGCTTAAGTTTATTTTAGACACAATTGATACTCATGCAATATTTCTCGATCCAGTGCAATGGGAAAACTGTTGATATAATGCAAGCTCATTGTTTGGGATGAGTTCACAATGGCATATAAGAAATCATTTGAAGCACTTAACTTCACACTGAAGGATCTTCAGAAAAACCAACATCTTTGGCGGCTTGATTATACTGTTGGGAGGCGATTTCAGGAAAACGTTGCCAGTTATTCCCCGTGGAGCGACTGCAGATAAATTGAATGTTTGCCTGAAGGCTGAATGGATTGACGTAGCACAGGGACGGCCAGGATGTTGGCAGGCGATTTCAGGAAAACGTTGCCAGTTATTCCCCGTGGAGCGACTGCAGATAAATTTAATGTTTGCCTGAAGGCTGAATGGATTGACGTAGCACAGGGACAGTCAGGATCCGTTTCAAGAATTTTCATTGGTTCAGACGTGGTTGCTGTAAAAGATTCCGACCCGATTGCTAAGATAATTAAATTAATCTGTTTATTCAATATTAAATGCGTGTTATGCCTCCGGAGTTCGACTTACGGACGGTGCTTGTCATCGCTCATCGGGATCCGAACGGGTGCCGTGAAAGTTTTCCTCCGAAGAAAGGCGTCAATCGGCCTCGAAACTCAACACACGGAAATATATATATATATATATATACGAATTTTCACATATATATATATATGTTCGCGGTGCGCGTCACACCGATGGGACGATTTCCGTCGACAGCCTGGCCGGAGGTTCGAGCACAACCTCGAGGATTTTCTCCAATTTTCCCATTTTTGCCGGCGCTGTCCTCTTGCGCCATGTCCCCGGCATTGCCTGCGCAGCCACCACCCTGCTGCCATCTTCGCATGGTTCTCCTTGAAACATTTCATGCTTTCATGGATATTGTTCATCGTTCCTACAATTAAATTGTTCTCGTTAATAGTTGTGGTATGACAGCTGTTAAGTTTTGGGTTTAGTGTTGGTTTTAGTGTTGGATAATGCTTTGAGTTATGTGTTACACCATGATTGATGTGTTAGGTTAGATCATGTTCGGTGTCCAGTTTTGGGTTATGAGTACGACCAGGGGTTGTATCTGTCACTGAATGTGGTTTTGTGTCCCAGATATACAGGGGTGGTCAAATGTTTTTACACAAATGCATATTTGTTATTATTCTTGTTGTTGTTGACCGATTTCCATGAAATTTTTTATCGCTTAAATTGATTTATTCAGGAAGAAACAGAAAACGAAAACAAAAGATAATAAGCATCTATTCTTATCATTTTGGCTCGGTTCTGCATAGATCAATCTAATCAAAAATAAAATTTCAGGAAGAACGGTCAACAATCACAAGAACAACTAAAATAAATTGGGCTATGAAAATGGTCGATGTGTAAATTCTTCTGACTACCTTTGTACACTCGTTTGGTTTTCCGTTTTTTTTTTTTGTTTCTGTTACTGTAACGAATTGGTTGACCGCTTTGGAAAAGTGATGTGTTTTACACCACACTAATTCCCAGATTTTTGGTTTCCATTCTGTCCTGTAGTGGCGTTTTTGATGTTCCGCTGCCTTTTCCATGTGTTCCGTCGCTTCCATTCTGATTGTTTTTAACCTGATCCATCTTGTCTTTATATCTTATTCCTTAAGTCCGGACCCTGCGGTTACTCTGTCGAATGTTGCGTTTGGTATTTTCAGTTCCTTCCAAAAACTAACTGGGCCGGGATGAACTGCGTTGATTCCGACGTGCTACTGTTAAACGCTAACATCAACTCCAAGATGTGTTCATCCCATTCCGTTTGCTCTTCTACTGCCAGATGCGATATCATTGTCTTTTCGGTCTATTTGTTCGCTCCGTCGGATTTTCCTGCGGTGTATATGACGCCGTGAACTGATGGCGGATCCCCCATTTCTCCATGGCCTTCCTTGTTTTCCGTCCGGTGAACTGGACTCTGCTATCGGATATCAGGGTTGTACACTCATAAAAATATTTTTCTAGATTTAAGAAAAATCGCCCTAAAAAATAATCGCCTTTAAACTAAGAAAAATTTCTAGAATTAAGAAAATGTTTTCATAAATTTAGGGAATGGCACCATAAAATCAAAACAAGCCACCATAAACACATTTTTTTTGGGTTAATTTAAATTTTTTTCTAAAATCTAGGGCGATTTTTCCTGATTTTTTTCGTTTAGCGTCTTTCTCAATATACGGGCGAATCGCCCTAGTTTTGACGGTTAAATTTTTGTATAACCATCGTTGTAGAACTACAGGTTACAGATTTTAGTTTAAAGGGATATCCATGAGAATGACAGAGAAGGAGATATTTTCGGTATTCTTCGGGAGGGCTTTGGGTTTTCAGTTCGTGTAAAGTGTTAGCTTCGGGTTTTCAGTGCGTGTAAACAGATCAAAGTGTTAAGTTGCGTGTAAAAAGGGATGCGATGGAGACATTTTTAAAAAATTTGAAAGGGGATATTTTGCTCAACATTTTTATACCCTTGCAGGGTATTATAATTTTAGTCAGAAATTTGCAACGCAGTGAAGGAGGCACCTCTGACCATATAAAGTATATATATTCTTGATCAGGATCAACAGCCGAGTCGATCTAGCCATGTCCGTCTGTCAGTCTGTCCTTCTGTCCGTCTGTCCGTTTCTACGCAAACTAGTCTCTCAGTTTTAAAGCTATGTGAATGAAACTTTGTAGTTAGCCTTCTATATACTCTCACTCGTATATATGTCGGAACGGACCAGATCGGACGACTATATTATATAGCTGCCATAGGAATGATCGGAAAATTTTTACAAAAAAAATTATAAGATTTTCAGTTTGCAACAGAATTTGATCAAATTTAAGGTATAGCCATTTTTTTCAACTGATTTTCATCAAATTTAAGGTATAGCCATTTTATATTAGTCTAAAATTTTGTGTTAAATTTCATGAAAATCGGACGACTATATTATATAGGTGCCATACAAACAATCGTATGATGTAGAAGAAAAATGAAAAATCTGTGAATGTAAAACTGCAAATACAATATGTATAGGTTATATATATCTATATCTATATCTATACTATTATATAAAGAGGAAAGGTTTGATTTTTGTTTGTTTGTTTGTATGAATTGAATAGGCTCCGAAAGTACTTGGCAGATTTGAAAAATTCTTTCACTGTTGGAAAGCTACATCATTCCTGAGTGACATAGGCTATATTTCATTTTAAAAAAAAATAGGCATCCTTACTAAAATTACGATAACGTAATCCAAGGTGTTAAAAAAATATCAAAAAACTACCTTACATCTACCGCCCTCTACAGGCAGCCAGCTGAGTCAAAGCATTTCCTGTCAAACATTCAAAACATATTGAAATAAGGAATTAGAGATAAAAATTTTATTTTTTGTTCAGGTTCAGTAAGAAACGAAGTCATGCCACCCAAGAAGTCGAGTTTGGGTCGTCGTACTCGCAATACAGAAGCAAAAAGACGTAAGATTTCGAATATGACTGACGAAGAACGGGCCTCCATCCGAGAGACTGAGCGGCTGAAAGCAATGCAGATGCACAACGAGGAATCAGCAGAAAGACGAGCAGATAGGCTTGAGAGAAAACGATTGAGAGTTAGGCAGTCGCGTTCTGCAGCAATCGATGTGATTCACTCTCAAAATAATGAACGCGACAGGGCAAGGGTAGCTGAAGCGCATTTACAGCTTGCAGCAGATCAAAACCTGCAATACAACCGTCTTGCATTCAGATATAATCCAACTGTTGATTACAACTCGAATCGCAATGTCGTTATTGGCCGGATGCATCAGGTCTGCATATACTGTCAGGCTCCTTCGATTGAATCAGACGAAACTTCGGTCCGAGGAATATATCCATTTGCGGGATGCTGTGATGAATGACCGTAATACAACCAACGTTGGAAAGCTCACGATTTTGCCATCCTCATACATAGGTAGTCCACGCAACATGCATGAATATGGTCAAAATGCCATGGCATATGTTTGTTGCTACGGCCGTCCAGACTTATTTATCACCTTCACATGCAATCCAGCTTGGGACGAGATAGTACAGCTGTTATTTCCTGGACAATCGTATAGGGATAGGCATGACATCACAGCCCGTGTTTTCAGACAAAAGCTCAAGTCACTGATGGATTTTATTGTGAAACATGGAGTTTTTGGATCTGTGCGGTGCTGGATGTATTCAGTAGAATGGCAGAAGAGAGGATTGCCGCATGCGCACATACTGATTTGGCTGTATGATAAAATTACTCCAGACGAAATCGACGATGTTATATGCGCTGAGATTCCACTTGCCGAGGTTGATACGGATTTGCATGAAGTTGTCATCAAGAACATGATCCATGGCCCTTGTGGTACCCTCAACCCATGTTCACCATGAATGGTAGACGGGAAGTGTTCCAAACGATATCCTCGAGCAACACCGTAACAGGGGACGATGGATATCCTCTGTATAGGAGACGGTCAACTGAAGATGGAGGGACTTCGGCAAATTTAAACATGAGAATTGGTAATATTGAGGTAGACAATCGTTGGGTGGTTCCATACTCACCACTATTGTCAAAATCATACAAAGCGCACATCAACGTAGAATATTGCAATTCCGTGAAATCGATTAAATATATCTGCAAGTACGTGAATAAAGGCAGCGATATGGCAGTTTTTGGTTTTCAGGCAGAAAATGGTGACAACAATGCAGTACGAGTTGTCGATGAAATATCTCAATAACAGGCTGGAAGATACATAAGCAGCAACGAGGCTGCATGGAGAATTTTTTCGTTCCACATTCATGAACGCTATCCAGCTTTAGTTCACTTGGCAGTCCATTTGGAGAATGGTCAACGTGTCTATTTCACAGCAGAAATGTGCAAGAAAGAGTCCTGAATCCGCCAGCGACAACTCTGACTGCCTTCTTCACCTTATGCCAGGAAGATGATTTTGCCAGAACCTTGATGTATTCAGAAGTGCCCTCTTAACCATAATATGCCCAGCAGGTGGTCAACTAGCTCATATACCGAGGATACCGATGATCCAAAATGATATGACAATCCCATTTAAATGGCTTCAATTTCCGGTAAAAACATCTTTCGCATTAACAATTAACAAGTCACAAGGCAAAACCTTCGAATTACTAGGGATCGATCTGCGAAATAAATGTTTTACTCATGGTCAACTGTATGTTAGTCTATCGAGAGTCGGAGCCAATGAAAATCAATTTATTTTGCTGCCACAAAATAAAACATCAAATATTGTTTACAGAGAAGCTCTAACAAAATAAATGTATTTTCTTTTAGGGTTATGACCTCAATAATTGAAATAAAAAAACAAAAAAATAAAGGATGAATATGTGTCATATTATTATTATTATTATGAATGTGTTAAAATTGCCAAATCTAAATGTAATGTTTAATGCCCGTGCGAAGCCGCCTTTTTTTTTAACACAAATATATATATTTTATATTGTTTGGATTCCTAGTCAAAAAAGTTCTATCTGCAAGGGTATTTAAACTTCGGCGTGCCGAAGTTAGCTTCCTTTCTCGTTTAAGGTAAGTTTATTAGTATTGTTTACTTAAAGGTATTTATATAGATATATAATCTTAATCTAATAGAAGATGAAAAACGGAATTTCAAAATTAGTGCAATTAAGTGCCTAACTTGGGACCAACTTCGTGGGAAAATTCCAACGAATATTGTTGGTGTGGCCATGAAGTTTTATAATCTTAAAAAACTCAGGCGTAATGTAAGTAATTCATTATTAACTATATTATTTGCAATAAGTAGTCAAAAACATGTACACATACATACTGCTTACGTCAGGAGGCCCTTCGCGGCGCCGCCTCTGCCCACCGAGATTCCAAAGTTTTACCGCTCTTGCACTCCCGCAAGTCGGCTCTTCGCGCACTGCTCATCGGGCTAGTCTAAGCGCTCCCGCGCCCACTCTTCGATGTTCGCGAACTCCCGCTCCCGAATTCCCGATCTTCGCTCGCTGCTAAGCGAGCTGAGGGACGGCTAGTTCGCGCTCCACTTCGCGGGCCCGCTCTCGCACTGTTAAGCTTAGCTTATCGGTCGGGAGCGCAGCCCTTACGTTTAAGCTAATTAGTCTTATGTATGCAGCGAAATAAAGCTGACCATTTGAATTGCCCACGACGCCCCGCCTTTACTTTTCGACATCGCTTGCGACGTGGGAATTTTCACTGGGCTACATTTTCCAGGATCTTTAGCGGCAGGATCGCCCCCCTACAAACACATACATACATATATACATATATGTGAAATAAAAAAAAAAATTAATTAAAATTGTATTTTTAAGATTATCTATATCTATACTATTATATAAAGAGGAAAGGTGAGTTTGTTCGTTTGTTTGTATGAATTGAATAGGCTCCGAAAGTACTTTGAAAAATTCTTTCACTGTTGGAAAGCTACATCATTCCTGAGTGACATAGGCTATATTTCATTTAAAAAAAAAATAGGCATCCTTACTAAAATTACGATAACGTAATCCAAGGTGTTAAAAAAATATCAAAAAACTACCTTACATCTACCGCCTTCTACAGGCAGCCAGCTGAGTCAAAGCATTTCCTGTCAAACATTCAAAACATATTGAAATAAGGAATTGGATATAAAATTTTATTTTTTTGTTCAGGTTCAGTAAGAAACGAAGTCATGCCACCCAAGAAGACGAGTTTGGGTCGTCGTAATCGTAATACAGAAGCAAAAAGACGTAAGATTACGAATATAACTGACGAAGAACGGGCCTCCATCCGAGAGACTGAGCGGCTGAGAGCAATGCAGATGCACAAGGAAGAATCAGCAGAAAGACGAGCAGATAGGCTTGAGAGAAAACGATTAAGAGTTAGACAGTCGCGTTCTGCAGCAATCGATTTGATTCACTCTCAAAATAATGAACGCGACAGGGCAAGGGTAGCTGAAGCGCGTTTACAGCTTGCAGAAGATCAGATATAATCCAACTATTGATTACAGCTCAAATCGAATGTCGTTATTGGCCGGATGCATCAGGTCTGCATATACTGTCAGGCCTCTTAGATTGAATCAGACGAAACTTCGGTCCGAGGAATATATCCATTTACGGGATGCTGTGATGAATGCTGCAACTCTTTTGAAGGATGGCAAAACTGCTCATTCTACTTTTAAACTTCCACTATCCGTCAATCTTGAACAACAATCTACATGTTCAATACGCAAAAATGGACCTATTGGTAATGTCGGGAGCACAAGCAGCAGATTTAATATTAGCATGTTTTAAATCATTATTTGTAAACAATCGATCAGCTGCGGCAGAAGCTTTCCACCTCATAAGCCGACATGAAAGCTCTTCCGCCGCAGCTCTTCTGTTTGGTTTATCTATTCTCTCGATTCATTCGCTCACTTACGTTGAAACTAAAAACACACAAAAACTTTGTAACCAAACCACACACAAGCACACACAAATTAAAACATAACTAATTTTACGCCAACACAAAACAAACCCCTCGCTAAATCAATTCGCTTAATAGGTGGCATAAATTAATGCCCTCCTCAAAACATTTGGTGACCCCGACGTGATCGCGTAAAAAATCGTTTTCGTTAAAATAAAAGGTGAAAAGTGCTTATATATAGTTCGTATGCTCACACAATACAATTGCATATCGTTGCATCGCTATTGAACTTTATCGGTACATTCGAGTACATAGCATCTCTTTATATATTTGTGCACTAGCATATAGTTGCAGCCCTTTTATATACTTTTCGTGCAAATTGTGTTTGTGCTGTTGGTTTTGGTGGTCCGATAGAACCGTTAGCTCGCGGTCAGTGAACGCCAAGCTTGGCTCCGCTATTCTTTCGTTCTCTATTCTCTGCGTTTGGTACAGCTGCATCGGTCGCAAACCCAAGGTGACATTTGAATACTCTTTTTGAAAATAAAATGGCAGAGAATGATTCGGTTACTGCGTGCCCATCCGGGGCCAATAGTGATTTGGACTTTTATAAAGCCAAAGCGGACTTTTTCGGTTCAGAAGAGGCGTCTCATTTTGATGAGGCCGACCTTCAAGTCAGGCTTGAGCTTATTGAAAAAATGCAAGATAAGGCTCAATCTACTAGAGCTGGCTAGTGATGTGCGTGCAAAATTTCTAAACATTTATTGTGCGGTGAAATCCAAAATATCTCGCGAACTAGCAAAACTCCGCCGAGTGTCAGTGATAAATTCGACTGCACTCCCAAATTTCAACATCGAGCAGGCTTCAACCTCCAGGGCTGGTGTCCGGGCCACTAGGCTGCCTGAGTTTAAGCTGCCACGATTTGGAGGCGCTTATATGGACTGGCCAGATTTCTACGCTATGTACACTACAGTCATCGGCAACAACGATGACCTGACCAATTTGGAAAAATTCCAGCATCTACGCTCCTGTTTGGATGGCCCCGCGTTAGACACAATTCGCTCGCTGGAGCCAACAGAGGCCAATTATGAGAAGGCAGTCGACCTATTGACTGCTAGGTTTGATAACAAACTTTTGCATTTTCAGGGGCACATACGATCTATTTTCAGGCTTTCTAGTGTGGTGAAAGGGTCGGCAAGGAGTTTGCGGCAATTGAGCGACGGCATCAACTCTCATCTGCGAGCCCTTAACACAATGGCAACCACCCAGGAGATTGCGGATGGAATGCTCATATCCCTGGTGTCCTCCAAACTGGATCAGCATACCCAGGAGAAGTGGGAAGAGGGATTGCCTACCAATAAGCTGCTAAAATGGACGGATATGGCTGCCTTTTTGGAGAAGAGATGTCGGATGATGGAAAACATTGAAAATGCTATGGTAACCCACACACCTAGCAACCAGGTGGGAAAAACTATAAATAAAAATGTCCAAAACGCTTGCACCGCATCATCCTACACCTCATTATGTATTTTGTGTGATTCTAAGGATCACTTTATTTCGAAATGTCCACAATTTATTGCCTTGAGTCCCACATTACGCTACAAAGAAGCAAAAAGGCTACATCTTTGCCTAAATTGCCTGCGTAAAGGCCACAGCCTGCAGCAGTGCAAAGCTGGGAACTGAAGGCATTGTCGCTCTAAGCATCATACATTGATACATTTGGAGTCAAATCCTGCTTCATCACCCTCGCAGCCCACATCCACTTCTGCTCCTCAAAATAGTGCCTCGCTCATTTCTGCTTCGCCAAATTCACCCCCACCTAAAGCCTCGGTAGATCATCAACCTGATTATGTGCTTCTTGCCACTGCCATCATATATGTCCGAAATCGTTCCGGCATAATGGTGCCCTGCAGAGCCTTGCTCGACTCTGCATCGCAAATTAATTTCATTACTTCTCGACTCGCTCATCAATTGCAACTGTCAACTCGTCGCTCAAATACATGCATCTCAGGTATAGGAGAGTCTTCACTCATGGCTGATAAGGCGGTAGATATTATTGTACAATCTCGCAACAAAGGTTACCGAACATCATTCGCTGCAATAATGACTAGCACCATCACAAATTATCAGCCGCATTTCGACCTAAACTCTTCAGAATGGAACATCCCCAGCAATTTATTCCTCGCCGATCCGCTCTTTCATAAAAGTCAAAGGATTGACATTCTTATAGGAGCTGGAATCTTCTTCGACCTGCTTTGCGTTGGGCAGATATGGCTGGCCGATCACCTTCCCTCCTTGCAAAAAACTAGATTGGGTTGGGTAGTATCCGGTGGCATATCTTCGCCGGCCCATAAACACTCTTCTCTTCCCGCATTGTCAGTTGAGCACGATGTACAATTGGAACCTGAATCGTTGCCGGACCTTGTCAAACGGTTTTGGGAAATTGACAGCTATTGTGGATCGTCATCTGCTCCAACTGATGAGGATGCCTTGTGCGAGAATTTATTTGCTCAATCTTATTCTCGGCTTGAGTCAGGCCAATATTCAGTTCGATTGCCCGCAAAGACTAGTCTCGATATGCTAGGAGATTCATACCATCGTGCTTCGCAGCGATTCAAATCATTGGAATCCAAATTGGCTAGAAATCCTAATCTCAAGGCTCAATATATTGCCTTTATAAAGGAGTATATCGATTTAGGCCATATGTCGCCCTCTTGCAAGCAGTCAGCTTTGCCGCAATATTATTTGCCCCACCACTGCGTTCACAAATTGGACAGCTCGACTACCAAACTCAGGGTAGTCTTCGATGGTTCTGCCAAGTCTTCGTGTGGATACTCTTTAAACGAGTTGCTCTTTGCTGGTCCCTCCATTCAGCCTAAAATCTTCAGCACTTTGGTTCGGTTCAGATTCTTTAAAGTGGCACTATGCGGCGACATCTGCAAAATGTATCGCTGTGTGCGTGTCTCCGAACCTGATAATCTGCTCCAATGCATCCTCTGGCGTGATAGTCCAAGCGAAGAAATTAAAATATACACCCTGGACACCGTCACTTATGGCACAAAGCCTGCTGCATTCCTAGCAATTCGTGCTATGCAGCAGCTCTCCTATGATGAGGAGAAGGATTTTCCTGTGGCAGCCAAGATCGTGCGTAGGGACTTTTATGTTGACGACCTTATTTCTGGAGGCGACTCGATCGAAGAGGTCGTTTATATCCGGCAGCAGGTTAAATCGTTACTTGCAAAAGGCCTATTTCCAATTCGTAAATGGTGCTCCAATGAGCCGGCAGCGCTTGAAGGAGAACTTGAGGCTGATCGCGAGAAAATGCTCAAATTCAGTGATGGGACTGACGTCGCCAAAACACTTAGCCTATACTGGGATACAAGTTCCGATAATTTGCTTTTTGGATTCTCTGGAAATGTAGCAGACAAGCCAGCTACCAAGCGGTCTATTTTATCAGCCGTAGCCAAATTCTACGATCCCCTAGGTCTTATAGCGCCCATTATAACCAGGCTCAAAATATTCCTGCAAATCCTGTGGAAAGATAAGCTCGACTGGGATGAGACTTTGCCACAATCTTTGCATTCCTTATGGTTGGAACACTCCGCGCAAATCTCGGCAGTCAGCCATTTAAAATTTCCTCGCTTCATCATGCAATCTGACTCATCTTTGGAAATTCATGGATTTTGTGATGCAAGCTTGGCGGCATATGGTGCCTGTATTTATGTGCGCTCCGAAGCAGGGGGCACCTACTCATCACATTTGCTTTGCTCCAAGTCTAGAGTCTCGCCGCTTAAAACAATAACCATACCCAAACTTGAATTATGCGCAGCTCTATTGCTATCCGAACTCATCCACAACATCGCTAATGCCATTTCTCAGCCTTGCACATATCATTGTTGGTCTGACTCAACAATTGTGCTCTCTTGGATTCGCCAGGCCCCATCAGACTTTAACATTTTTGTCTCCAACAGAATCGCGCAGATTCAAGAAAGGACCAAGGATATGGCTTGGCATCATATATCGACCCACTACAACCCGGCTGACATATTATCCAGAGGATGTACTCCGCTCGAACTTTTGGATTCGACGCTGTGGCGTGAGGGCCCACCATTCCTGCGGACAGACGAAGCTTGCTGGCCGCCTCATACGCCTACTCTAGTAGATGTGCCTGAACGCCGCCGCCTCGCGCTGGTGCTGACGCAAAGCCAGGATATTTCGTATGGCTGCAAGTTTCAAAATTGTTTTGGAAAGCTGCAGCGAGTCTTTGGCTACATACATCGGTTCCTAATGCTAAAAGCCAAGGATGAGCCACGACGGCGAGGACCTCTTACAGTAGACGACATCAAGGGAGGCACGCATCTGCTCATCAAGGGAATCCAGCTCATCAACTTTGCTGAGGAGTATAAGGCCCTGCAATCCGAAAGGCAGATTTCCTCAAAAAGCAAGCTGTACTCGCTGCATCCAATCTGCGATGAATCGGGACTTATTCGAGTTGGCGGTCGGCTGCAGAATTCATTATTGGATTATGATGCAAAACACCCAATTTTGCTTCCCAAGGATCATCCAGTCACGTCAGCAATCATAGCTCACTATCATTTGAAATTTCTTCACTCAGGCCCGCAGAGCTTATTGGCGGCCTTACGGCAAAGGTTTTGGCCAATTGGTGGTCGAAAAATAGTCGCCGCCACTATCAACAAATGCATTCGCTGCTTTCGATTAAAGCCCAAATTAGCTGAGCACATCATGGCCCCCTTGCCATCCAACCGCGTGCAGCCAAGTCGACCATTTGTCACAGTGGGAATCGATTTCTGTGGTCCTTTCTACTCCAAGTCTGAAGTCAGAAACCGGCCACCCGTCAAATGCTATATCGCAATATTTGTTTGCTTCGCCACTAAAGCCTGCCATTTGGAGCTGGTGGAGGATTTGTCTGCGGCTTCATTCATCGCTGCCCTCAAGCGCTTCATAAGCCTAAGGGGCAAGCCTGGCACAATATGGTCCGATAACGCTACAAACTTCGTTGGAGCCAAAAACGAGCTGCTGGAACTGAGGCAACTGTTTCTCGCCGACCCTCAAAACAGCGATCTTCAGCAGGCCTTCGTTTCCATCGGGATCAAATGGCAATTTATTCCCCCTCGTTCGCCTCATTTCGGCGGCCTATGGGAGGCTGCCGTCAAATCTGCAAAATATCATTTTCATCGGGTCGTTGGCAACACTATTCTCTCATTCAATGAGCTTCGCACTTTAGTTTATGAAATTTCAGCGATGCTTAACTCTCGACCGCTCTGTCCAATTTCAGAAAACCCTAACGATGTCCTTACACCTGGTCACTTTTTGATTGGGTCTTCTTTCGCCACAATCGAGGAGCCCGACATCACGCACCTCAGCATCGATCGGCTGAGCCGCTGGCAACGAGTTTGCCAAATTCAGCAAATCATCTGGCGGAAGTGGAGTACCAGCTACCTCTCGCTTTTACAAGAACGTGGGAAATGGCGTGCATCAAGGCCCAACATCCTACCGCATAGCATTGTGGTGCTCAAGGAGGACAACATCCCTCCGCTTCAATGGCGTCTTGGCAGAGTGGAGAGCATTATCCATGAAGCTGACGGTGTGGCCCGTGTCGCTGTCATTCGGACAGCCACTGGCCTAATAAAAAGGGCTGTTGGCAAAATAGCTGTTCTACCCCTGGAAACCACCTCATCTGGCAGCGTGCCGCATCCAGCGGGGGGAGCATGTCGGGAGCAGAAGCAGCAGATTTAATATTAGCATGTTTTAAATCATTATTTGTAAACAAGCGATCAGCTGCGGCAGAAGCTTTCCACCTCATAAGCCGGCATGAAAGCTCTTCCGCCGCAGCTCTTCTGTTTGGTTTATCTATTCTCTCGATTCATTCGCTCACTTACGTTGAAACTAAAAACACACAAAAACTTTGTAACCAAACCACACACAAGCACACACAAATTAAAACATAACTAATTTTACGCCAACACAAAACAAACCCCTCGCTAAATCAATTCGCTTAATAGGTGGCATAAATTAATGCCCTCCTCAAAACAGGTAAATTACTACAAGAGGCATCATTGATTATGTGGGACGAATGCACGATGAACCTTACAGGATCTAAGGAACTCCTCTGCAGTGATGGGCGGGACTACTTTTGTATTTGCTGGATATTTTCGACAGACTCTCCCCGTTATTAACAGAGGCACGCGAGCAGATATCATCAAGGCATGCTTGAAATCGTCTCCCATATGGACTACGATTGAAACGTTAAAATTAAGGACAAATGTGAGAGCTCATCTTCATGGAATCACTGATATCGATTTCCCACAGCAACTGCTAAAACTTGGGGAAGGAATTTTTCCAACTCCAAATTTAAGCGGTCATTGTGACATTCTTCTGGATGAGTCTCTAGGTCAAATACTCCATAATTTTGAAAATTTAATAGATTCTGTATACCCTGATATCGAGAATTTGCACGAAAGAGACTTCCATTGGCTGTGTTCTCGGGCTATAGTATCACCTAAAAATGATACTGTCAATGAAATAAATAATCTGATTGTTCAAAAAGTCCCCGGCCAAACAAAAACATACAAATCGATCGACACTGTAACGAATATTGAAGATGCAGTCCATTATCCACAGGAATTTTTAAATTCGTTGAACCCTTCTGGACTGCCACCCCATGAATTGACGTTAAAAATCGGAATCCCAATTATGCTTTTAAGAAATTTAAACCCTCCGAGCATGTGTAATGGGACGAGGCTGCTTATTAAGGAGTTAAAGGACAATTTAATAGTAGTAAATATTATCACTGGCCCAGCAAGTGGTCAACTAGCTCATATACCGAGGATACCGATGATCCCAACTGATCTGCCAATCCCATTTAAACGGCTTCAATTTCCGGTAAAAACATCTTTCGCATTAACAATTAACAAGTCCCAAGGCCAAACCTTCGAATTAGTAGGGATCGATCTGCGAAATAAATGTTTTACTCATGGTCTATCGCGAGTCGGAGCCCCTGAAAATCAATTTATTTTGCTGCCACAAAATAAAACAACATCAAATATTCTTTACAGAGAAGCACTAACAAAATAAATGTATTTTCTTTTAGGGTTATGACCTCAATAATTGAAAAAAAAAAAACAAAAAATAAAGGATGAATATGTGTCATATTATTATTATTATTATGAATGTGTTCAAATTGACAAATCTAAATGTAATGTTTAATGCCCGTGCGAAGCCGGGACGGGCCGCTAGTATATTAATATATGTACTATATGTAATTAGCTAAGTGTGAATATTTTATATAAATATATGTACATTTGTAAATATTAATATAATAAAATCCAAATAAAAAACAAATACAAATAAAAAATATGTATGTGTTTTTCTTTAAGGCCTTTAAAAATTATAAATTCACCTCAAAATCAAGAAAATATGTAGATTCTTATATTTCGGGCCAGTTTTCTTAATTCAAGAAAGCTTTCCCTTAAATTTAGAAAAAAAGTCGCATCTTAGTGGTCAAATAACCCTAAAACTAAAAAAAAAATATCTAAATTTAAGAAAAATTTACCTTTAATTTTAGAAGCATTTTCACACATTTAGGGCAAATCGCCCTAAAACAAGGACATTTTTTCTACAGTTAAGAAAAATTGCCTTAGATTTGAGGAAGTTTCTTTCCCGATTGTAGGGCAAATTTTTCTTAAATTTAGGGCGACTCGCTTTTGGATCCATTTTTAGGGCGAATTTCTAAATCTACGGGCGAAAAGTGTTCTTTTCAGAGCGATTTCGCGTTAAAATTTTTATGAGTGTAGGCGCTCCGACCCGACGTCGGCGACCCAGGCGTGGTTGCTGTGCCGTGTAAGTTGTTGCTGGCGATTTGGTGACATGTAATAGATGAAACGATGTATAATTTGTTTTAAGCACGTCTGTGCTGATTGAGTCTTTATTTTTGAGTAATTCTTAGTTGTTTCAAACTAAGGCTTGCTAGATGTCGGCGGCGCGGCAGAGCAGCCGTTTTATTTATTTATATATATGTAAAGTAACAATATATAAAATATGCAATGAGTACATATCGTATTACATTTGCACTTGAAATGTGTTTAGTCACTTTTAGGCACTTGGCACGCTGTTGCTGAGTGACATGGGTAATGCCCTATGTATATTATTTGTAAACAAAGTGTTGTGACCTCGGCTAACAAAGTGTTGCCGCTCAATATTTATATTAAGTAATAGGAACTCATATCATAGACAAACAACTCCGTTGATTCTATAACAAACCTCGATGATGTAGTAAATTATCCGACGGAGTTTTTGAACTCTCTGAAGTTACCAGGACTTCCACCATATAACTTCAAAACTCAAAGTTGGCAGAGTTTTTATGTTATGCCGTAATTTGAATCCACCCCGACTTTGCAACGGTACTCGACTTTCGGTAAAAAGACTTATGCCTATTTTGATTGAGACAACCATTATAAACGGAAAGTACGCAGATGAAAATGTATGTAATCCAATGACTCAGACTCATCTTCCGTTTGACTTCAAACGATAGAAATTTCCACAATTTCATTGTTTTTCACATGGGCCGTAGTACGTTGTGTGTTCACGAGTTAGGAAACCATCCGCTTCGTTTGTGTTAATGTGGTTTATTTCGCTTTTAAAAATGTGTTATTAATAAATGGGTGTAACTGTGTGTATTGGATGTAGGTATGCGTGGATGTATATAATTTTATTAAATTGGGATAATGTTCAAAAGGACACGTTTTTGGTATATATGTACAATTTGGTGTAAATAAAAGAGGAATTCAAAAAAATCGAGAATATTTGGCTTGATTTTACCGAAGTGGTGCCTGGAATTCCTGGCTGTGTGCTCAGTTATTGTGCCTGACGCCCTGTGCTATCCCCATCTAAAATTGTTTACCTTATCCTTAGAAACCTCTTATTATTCCCTTATTCGGATGGAATCTGTTATTATTCCTCTTCAAAAAAAGGTAGCAAATTGAATGCCAACAATTATAAAGGAATCTCTAAGTTGTCGGCTATCTTTAAACTTCTCGAAAACATTATTACTCGTCACTTGCAGCACTTTTGTAGATCAGTTATGTCTCCATGACAATATGGCTTTATTAAACGAAGATCAACAACAACAAATCTTTTGGAGCTCTCTTCCTATATTATAAAGTTCTTCCATAATAATTTTCAGACAGATGTAATCTTTACTAACTTCAGTAAAGCATTTGACATTGTTAACCATTCTCGCCTCGTAAGGAAACTTGATTTAATTGGTTTTCCAATTGATCTTCTTATATTATTTGTTTATATTATTTATAAATGACCTCCCAAAGTCTTGACTAACTCCAAAGTGCTTATGTACGCTGATGACGTCAAGCTTGGCGTACAAGGTGGTCGCCTTCCAGTCGAATTTACAGAGAGATCTTAATAATTTTTAAACATGGGGTCGAGTATACTAATTAAACTTAAACGGCTCTAAATGCAAGCTAATTACATTCTCTCGTGTCGTTCCTAAGCTTGCTACTTATACACTGAACTGCTGGTCTTTGGAAAGAATTAATTCAGTAGATTTGGGCGTCCGCTTGGTCCCAAAACTTGACTTTATTGATCATATTTCGTCTATGGTGAATAGAGCCAGGGGTGTGCTTGGATTTATTAAACGGTGGTCGAAGGAATTCAGTGACCCCTATGTTACTTATTCCTTATATACCTCTTTAGCAAGTCCTATCTTAGAAAATGGATGCTGCGCTTGGAGTCCTTGTTACGGAGTCCATAGTAAATGCATCGAGTCGGTTTAAAAGAACTTCTTACTTTTCGCTCTACGCGGCTTTAATTGGGATGCAAGCAAAATATTACCTTCATATACTAATAGCCTTCTCCTAATTAATTTACTATCCTTAGCCAATAGTAGAACTATGCTTGGCATAACCTGTATCTACAACCTAATCCATTGAGACGAGAAAAGTGCTAACTTGTTGAGCCAGCTCAATTTCCACGTACCAAGTAGGAATACTAGGTCATATGGGCAATTCTCTGGTTTTTCTTTTTAGTTTTACAAAACTTGCAACGTATAGCTTTTGGTTAACACTATAATTGGTGCTAAGTTCGATTTTGGGCCCTTCTTAGTTTTCAAGATATTCACTAAAATGTACTGTATGTATTCGCACGCGACAAAACAGAAGTTACATTTGCAAAAAACCTCTGATTTCAGTGAAGCATGATGAAAAATTGTAATGCAATAAATTTTAATTAATTTGATTTGATTTTAATT